ATATATATATATATATATAAATGGCCAAAAAAATTATTAGTAGAAAATTTGCACAAATAGATTATGAAGCATATTTTAGCAAATATATTTTTGACCTTTCTTTGTATATGTTGAAAATATATATTTTTTTCTGTATGGGTAAGGTGCACTTATAATGTTAGCAGGATTTTTACACCCAAAACCATCTAAATTAAAAAATAAAAGTCCTTTTTCTACCCCGATTGTAGCCCTCTGATTTAAACACATGGTTTATTTAAGACTTTAATGTAAACGCCTACAGCCTGAACGACTGATTTACACAGACATTAGTTTCATGAATCAAGGCCCATTTCCCTTTTTCACAAAAAGGATGTAATGATGGTGTCTAGGACGTAACACGACAGAACTACAAAGCATTACCTTGGCCAGTTCAGGGTGGATGCCATTTTCAGTTGTTTCCTCGTGTTTTTGAACAGGGACATGATTCGATGACACATCAGTGATCTCTAAAACAACAACAACAAGGAAACACTTTAGCTAAAAATGCAATGAACAAATGCACAATGCAAGCATGTAGTGATCTTCATGCATGCCACTAATTGTGTAGTGGATTTTGGTCACACTTCATGTGTGTCAGATGATCCTCAGGGCGCCAGCTCAGGAATTTAACCTTAACAGTATGAGAAGGATCCAAAAGCAAATCAGTATCAGTTACTTAGTTTAGCTTACTTTATTTGTCCTCGTAGGAAAAGTGCGTTTGCAACATGTTCACAGACATTAGTCATAGTTTTTGCATTTTCATGTGAATTCATGTAAACTTATCATTGAGTAATACAGTATCAATCCTTAATAATCCTTAAAATATGTTGCGTCAGTCTCTTTGTGAGGCTCTTATTTTCTAAAAGGACAAATGACAAAGAGAACTGTGGATCTTATAGGCCTCGTTGAACGTAGATCTAAAGTTGTTTTCCAAAATTTTTGCGCTACAGATGGAGAAAATAACAAAGAAGTTAAGATATACCATGACGGTGCACTCCTAGGACTTATGAATTCGAGAAAGTGCAAGCAATATGGCAGAACAGTCCCGCCTTCTGCATAAAAGAGCCAATCACTAATCACTAAAGTCATTGCATCACTGGAGTCTCCGGCTGCTATAGGAACAGTCAGTGTTTTCTGAGACGCGCGCTTAGAACTGGCTGGAAAATAACACTATTTGAGCATAAGAAACAACATTAATGAGACAGTGGATGTCAGATTTCATTGGTGATTTCAAGCATGAAATTTAATCGTAAGCTTGGCGAACAGTTTTGGAGAATTTAAAGTTTCCCCATTCCCTACGCATGCCCGAGAAGTGTTTCAAAGAGGGCTGCTGAGTGAAGTGACTTGTCTTCAAGGGACTTTGAAAATACTTCCTTCTATCATTAATGGAGGCCAAACAGGTTTCATCACGGGTAGTCACAATATTACGCCTGCTTCACACATGATCCGTTTGCAGCACGTCTGCAGTATGTTTTGCGGTCCAGAAGCAGATCACGCTCACTGTGCTTTCACATAAGATGTGTTTACAGCGCGCTACTGATCCGCGAGCATGAGCAAGTGTGAGAAAAGGTGTTCTCTGACCACCAGCATAATACAATGCTTCATATTTACTATCCTTGTAATTCTTTACTCTCTAAATTTAAGTTGGAAGTTTCTTCACAATGCACATTCTGTAATTCTAATTTGGAAACAATATCACACTTCTTTTTTGGAATGTGATCACGCAAAGGATTTTTGGAAAGAAATATCTTGGCTTGTTTTCTCTGCTTACAACAAACTTTTTGGTTTTGAAATAATTCATGTACTATTTTTGATTTGGGATCAAAGGAGCTGGATGATGTGTTCAAACTGTTAACTCTCTGTGGCTTATTTCATCTTCACAAATGTAAAGTTATTGATTGTATGCCCAATTTTAGGATTTTTTGTATTGATCTGAAACTATTTTAAGAATCTCTCTGCTCATCCCTCAATAAGAAAGCTGCTAAAACAACTGTATTGATGAAAAAAATAATGACTTCGATGTAAAGGTAACCTCCTAATTTTTCTTTGAAGTTGACATTTTTGTGTAATTATTCATTTGAGTGATTTATTTTTTTTAAGATGTTTATGTTAACTTTTTATTTATTTGTTTTTTTTCTGTTTATATATATATTTATTATTATTATTATTATTATTATTATTTAGGTACTAAATGTGTTTTGCATTTGGGTTGTGTATTCATTTTATTGCTTTGCATCAATCTGATTCACATAGTTGTTGTTGTTTTATATATATATATATTTGTGTTGTATGTATGCAAAATACATACAACAATCCCTGTGAATGTTAAATAAATAAAAAAGACCACCAGCCTGTAAAGTAATTGTCGCTTTTTGCATAGATGCAGGTGTCAGCCTCTCCCTCACACAATATCCACATCCTGTGTGATGTATTCCACATAAAACAATTACTATAAACATAATTTTGACCGCATTAGTTATTTTTGCAATTCCTTGTAAGTGTTTCAGTTTTCTTTGCTTTATCATGGACTTAAAGTAATAAGATGACCGTGAAAAACTACATGCATTTATGATAAAATTACTACATTATCACTTTAATCCATGTTCGTTTATTTGACCATGAACAATGCGCTATCGCTTTAACTCAGTGCATGCAGCACAGCAAAAACAGACTCTGTGCGGAAATTATTATTGCACTGATCCTGCAATGCATTTATTGCACCGCTTGTTTTCCCTAGACTTTCACTCAGGAGGGACAATACAATGATTTAACTGATTTAAAATGACATACAACACACACACGAAATAACGTACAGCATTCCTTCTGTACTTCAGCGTTTCGTACTTTCCAAGCACCCACCGTGTTTGCTGTCGCTCAGGTCCACGCTCTTGCGATCCAGAGCCGGGCCGTCCGGAGGGCTGATCTGCAGGATGCGTGTGAGAGTGTTGATCCAATCATCCATGTCTTGCTCGTTCTCAGCAGCCAGTACAAAATATGTCACTTCGTTCATTTTCAACTCAAAGGCGTGTTTCCTCAGGCGGTTATTCTGTATGAAACCCAGTTGAACCCAGAAACCATGATAAATCTCAGTCACTGGTCATCTCATTGTTAATGTTTGCTGAACCGCTTTAAAAACATATATTTACCGACCTGAACCACACCGGTGCACGAGTCCAGAAATATACAGCCTTTAGGTTCCTTTGATATCTTCTCATCTTTATAGAAGTTCATGATGTAAGAGTTGTCAGTTAGCTGAGTCAACTGAAAATATCTTCGCTTGAAGGACTGGGAAAGCACAAGCAACAAGAAAGTCAAAAGCAAGCAACAGGCAATCAGCAATATTTTTCACTCAAATAATTCTGCTGATAATATAGAATTTGTAATGACAGAATGAAAGCATCAGTGCAATTATGCAAGTATACTCAGGCCATCCAAGATTAGGATGAGTTTGTTTCTTCATCAGGTTTGGAGAAATGTAGCATTGCATCAGTGTCTCAGCAATGGATGCTCTGCAGTGAATGGGTGCCGTCAGAATGAGAGTCCAAACAGCTGATAAAAACATCACAATAATCCACAGCACTCCAGTCCATCAGTTAACATCTGGAGAAGACAAAAGCTGAAACTAATCCAGCATTCAGACGTTTTTAACTTCAAACTGTTGCTTTCGGCTAAAATATGAGTCTATAATCCTTAATAACGCAGTGAAAAAGTCTGTCTCCTGTTGTCTCTCACATCAAAATCCAGCCACATATTTGTTTAGAGCTGTTTAAACGGTGCTTGATCTGTGCAGATTTCTCTCCTGATTCAGATCAGATGACTTTTTCACGTTATGGGCTCATATTTTAGCCAGAAGCAAAGGTTTAAAAGGTAAAACATCTTAATGATGGATTTGTTTCAGCTTTTGTCTTCTCCAGATGTTAACTGATGGACTGGAGTGCTGTGGATTATTGTGATGTTTTTATCAGCTGTTTGGACTCTCGTTCTGACGGCACCCATTCACTGCAGAGCATCCATTGCTGAGACACTGGTGCAGTGCTACATTTCTCCAAATCTGATGAAGACACAAACACATCCTAATCTTGAATGGCCTGAGGGTGAGGACATTTACAGCAAATTTTCATTTTTGAGTGAACTTTTCTTTTAAGTGAACCCCCAATCTAGTATTTTTTTCTCTCTGACATACACATAAAATCATCACACATTCACAAAGCACTAGTCAAAGTGTTAGCACATTGTATGTAAAATGTGATGAGACGTTTAATAATGGCCATAATGGCATCTGTTAAATGCAGATATTTGCAATGGTGTGGGAAAGACAGCTGTTGACATGCACTCACCCGGACGGTGATACTGTTGTTGACAGTGCTGTTAAAGTTGCCTTTATAGAGCCAGCCGGACTTAAACACCCCGATTCCCCCTGCACCTCCACTCCCTGCTCCACCTCCTCCTTTAGATGATGACAGAGAAGTTGTGTCCTACAAAATAAAAAAAAGAAGTTGCTTATAAAGTGCATTTGGGAATTTAACACACTCCAGGTTCACGCCACTTCCACATTTACATAATTTCCAACATTTTTATGGCCATATGAACCTTTCTGTAAATTCAGCTTGATGCACCGTACTGACCTCATCTTTGTCCACATCTTCATGGTCGAGCTCAAAGGAGTGAGAGGGCAACTTCTCTGATTTACACAGCTTCCTATCGGGGAAGAAGAGTTACAGAGAGAGCCATCAACTATGATTAGGAAGAGAAAAGCAGGAAAGAGAAACCATCTTCACTTCCACACTGTAAAAAAATGGTATGAGCTATCTACTACTAAATAAAAACATTATGGTGACAATATCACACGTAAGACTTGATTTTTTTAATGCAATCTACCTGAATGAATCATGCAAAATCTCCTAAATTATTTAATATACGACACAAATAATTTGATATTATTATTGAAATGTGCTCATTTATTTTAAGTTGATTCTCAAAAGTCTGTGATTTTGAGTAAGGTCTGTTTGTATTTGACTTTGAGTTATTAAAAGACTGTATACATGGTCGAGCTCAAAGGAGTGAGAGGGCAACTTCTCTGATTTACACAGCTTCCTATCGGGGAAGAAGAGTTACAGAGAGAGCCATCAACTATGATTAGGAAGAGAAAAGCAGGAAAGAGAAACCATCTTCACTTCCACACTGTAAAAAAATGGTATGAGCTATCTACTACTAAATAAAAACATTATGGTGACAATATCACACGTAAGACTTGATTTTTTTAATGCAATCTACCTGAATGAATCATGCAAAATCTCCTAAATTATTTAATATATGACACAAATAATTTGATATTATTATTGAAATGTGCTCATTTATTTTAAGTTGATTCTCAAAAGTGTGTGATTTTGAGTAAGGTGTGTTTGTATTTGACTTTGAGTTATTAAAAGACTGTATACTGCGAGACAAGTCAAGTAAGAAAAAACTTTACTACACTAGTATTAGCAAAGCTACTGCTGATTGAACAAAGCATCATGCCTCATGCAGTTATCCATAACCATAAGCTCTACTCTTCTGCTCAATAATAACAATAGAACCTTCAACATAACAGAAACATAACTGAACGTTAAAGATTAATAGATGGTTCCCTTTACTCAAAAACACAAAGTAGCACTTAATATTTACAATATTTACTCTCCATATCCAGCCATAGGCAAAGCATGCTGGGAACTAACAATCACTGCCAAAACAAAACTGCAAAATTGAGCTGATTATCTTAAAATAAATAGGTAACCTTCTTTCCTTATTTTTTTTTCAGTTTAATCAGTTCCTCAATTCAAGCCTTAAAACTGCTTAAGTTTCCTTAAAAAAAAATCAGGAAAACATATCTCTTGGTTTTATTATTGAAAAGTTCTACAACACTGAACCACAATTTCTTTAATAAAGTATACACACTATTATTAATTATCACCTTAATTTTTAAATGAAAATTACAAGACCCATGATTCATTTTTTACATGGTTTTGGATATGTGGTGTTGCTGATGTAGCGTTATTATGTTTAATGAATAATATTCATTTGTATATTATTAACAGCAAAGAAAAGGACTTGTAAACCAGTTCATGATAATACTGTCACCTTCTGACATTTTCAGGGATGCATACATTTTATTCTAAATATACAATATAATCACATCATATATACATCACATCATATCTTTTTTGAAGAAAAAAAAAAAATATATATATATATAGTCTAAAATGCAGTCTAAAAAAAAAAAGAAAAGAAAAGTTTCCTCCTCTCCTATTCAACAAGGTCATATTTTCCAAATCATGTGGTGTTTTCACTCCTTTCAGTACGCTTTATTCTGACAGGACCTCACATACAGGTGTCCTTTCTGCTGCCTGCCTGAGCGCTCTTGTGAAGCAGAGCTCTTTGTGTCTGTCCTGGGTGCTAGAGACAGTGTGGCAGTTTATCCAGCACAAATACACACCACACGCAGTTTCTGTCGACTTACACTCTCTGCTCTTTAACATTGTGTATATAAGCCCAGTTCACAGCGCCAGTGACTTTGTCCCTGCATGCCGCTAGTCTCTCATGGGTGTTTTCTAGTGCTGCTGTTGTTACCGGTACACTGCACATCTGGACATATACAAATGCGATCACAGGTAATATGTGAGCCTGGAGCACAAAAGCAGTCTTAAGTCGCTGGGGGATATTTGTAGCAATAGCCAACAATACATTGTATGGGTCAAAATGATAGATTTTTCTTTTATGCTAAAAATCATTAGGATATTAAGTAAAGATCATGTTCCATGAAGATATTTTGTAAGCTTCCTACCGTAAATATATCAAAACTTAAATTTTGATTAGTAATATGCATTGCTAAGATCTTCATTTGAACAACTTTAAAGATGATTTTCTCAATATTTCGATTTTTTTGCACCCTCAGATTCCAGATTTTCAAATAGTTGCATCTCAGCCAAATATTGTCCGATCCTAACAAACCATACATCAATGGAAAGATTATGTATTCAGCATTTCGAAAAATTGACCCTTATGACTGGTTTTGTGGTCCAGGGTCACATATATGGCAGGTAAAACTAAGATATCATTCTAATTTGACAAGGGATTAGATTTCTTGTCACTAAAAAGCAACTTTCTGCTGTTGAAGAGTGTTGTTCTAAACTACAGCAGTGTGCATTAAACCTGATGATCTGTCAATACACAATTTAAACGCACTCATACTGCCAACAATTTGAAATTTGAAAAAATTTGAAAAACATCATAAATATGGCTCTTCGTAAGAGCCTGATGTTATTTGATGTGGAATAAATAATTATGTGGATTAAGCATTGTTTTATAAGTCTGTGGATTAAGCATTAATCAAATAATTATGTAAAATAATCATATAATGTTATGTAATTATGTAAAATAATAATAAAAGCAACAAATATATACTGATACAGTCTTCTACTGGTTATCGCTTCCGAAAGTTGTTCTTCATTTGCATTAAGCTAAACATTTCTCAACTTTCTCGTGTTGCTGGACTCCAGCTTCGACCGAATAGGATCACATTGTTTTGTCTCAGCGTTTCACCGGTGGTGTGAACAGGGCTATATATGTTAAAAACAGGCTTCTGAAGGGCATCACAAAGGATCCGAGACAAAGAGACAGCCTATCTACAAATCACCATTGGGCAGCGTCTCGTCCAGTCCTGTCCAAGCTAATAAAACAACTAAGAGGCCAATTCTTTGTCTTTATCAAGCAAGGCACTGGTTTTTGAATGATTAAATTAGATTTTCATTGACACAAAAGTGAAGTTGTACCTGGGCAGTGTGCGGTAGTCCCCTGCATACTCCTCATATTTATACTGGATCACATGCAGCTGGGAGTTATAATATTGACAGGCCTATAGAGAAGAAATAAAAACAGGCAGAGGTTCATCCTACTATAAGAGCTAAATGACAAAAACATCCACTCCGATTCAAAAGGCCCTACAGAATGTTAAGTGCAGCTAAACGTTTTCTAAAACAGCAAACAAATAAGCAAAAACACAATAGTTTTGAATCCTCCCATCTGACACATGAACAAGTCCATCATTTTAATGTTTGATATCATTGTAAGCAGTTTAGAGGTCCTGCACCCAATCATGGCCGTTTATAAAAGCTTGTGCAAACCATGAACAAAAGCACATCACAAAAATGCACCACAGACTACATTATTTTTCTACTCTACACAGTTTTAGTACTGCGTCAAGTTCTTTAAAAACAACCAGTTCAGAAGCACTACTGAACCTATAAAGCTCAAACGTGCGTGGAAGTTTTGGTGCTTCAATAAATGGACATAAATCATGAGATAATACTAAAATTGAACACAGGTATTAGTAAGGGTTCTGAACGACTTAGGGGTGAGTATATGATGATAATCTTCATTTCTGGCTGATGTTTCTCTTTAACAAAACTAAGTACTGTGTTAAGGGTCCGAATATTTAATGTAATGTGATATTTCATTTTTAGTTATTTTCCAAAGTTATAATAAATCTGCTTTTTTTTCTTTTCTGCTTTGTCATTATATGGTAATGAGTGTAGACTGATGTGAGCAAAACATAAAACCAGTTCATGCTGGTAATGACACAGTAATAACTAGGTCACTTTTTATTTATCTAGGTCACTTGTTATTTAGTATTGTGGACTACATGTAAACATCGGTCAGGTGAAATAGCTTATTCAGGGCAGTACTATAAACATGGTCAGACTGAATAAGGTGTCATTTTAATGTGGTGATATCTGGATTAGTTTATGGTTTCTGGCTTCCCACAGTCATGGACGACCTAGAAATATCTAGGAAATTTGCATACTCCATATACAGGGGTTGGGCAATGATACTGAAACACTGGCCAACAGAGTGTTTGGAGGTTTCCCGTCTACATATATGCACGGCCAGACTTCACTGATTTCACATCGCATCAGTGACTTGACTGACTTGAGCCACTTTGGGGTGTTTTGGAGGAGCGGGTCAGGAAACGTTTCCTCTACCAGCATCATGTAGTCACCTGGCCACTGTACAGGACTTCTATCTGTCATTCCCAGTGTTGGGGAAAGTTACTTTTAAAAGTAATGCATTACAATATCACGTTACTCCATAAAAAAGTAACTAATTACGTTACTTAGTTACTTTTTATGGAAAGTAATGCGTTACGTTACTTTTGCGTTACTTTTTAAATCTGGACAGGGCTTGCTCGTTTGTTTTTAATATAAAAAAGTTCTATTTTTGACAACTATAAAAGCCCTTTCACACCAAAAGTGAAATGAATAAGCCTCAGGCTGAAGGGAAAGTAAATTCACGTCCGTACAGTAGAATGCAGAAAAAACAAGAAAAAAGACACACAAATGTTTGTGTTACCCCCAACACTGGTCATTCCCAAGGACGGACCGATGCCAAAGGAGGCCCTACAGCATACTAATAAACAACTGTATATTGTTTTCTCAGTGAATTCTCAGTAAGGCACACCTGGCCTCCGAGCATCGTCTTCTGTTTTACTCTTTTACATGGGATCCGAAGCAAAGCCACACATGCAGCACTCACCTGTCTGACCAGCAGACATTCAGCATGTGTGTCGGCTCCCTCTGGCACAGTGGACTTCAGCGTTCTCCTCTCCACAGGAAGAGTGGACACCTACAATAACACAAACACTCAGCATCAGAACAGAGTTTCAGTGCAGCAACAGGCCGGTGATGCGAAAGCAAATGTAATGTAGCATGCAAGACATGACAGCTCAATGACAAGACATTGAGTTCCTGGAAGCAATCCATTATTGATGTATTTTCACCTACTATATGAACTATGCATAAATTTCACACAATTTCACGCACACAAGTAAAAATTCAACGGTAACACTTTCACTATGAACTAGTTGCTTAGCATGCCTATTATTAACATATTGGCTGTTTATTAGTACTTATAAAGCACATATTCTACATGACCATATTCTACATCCCTAATCCTACCCAATACCTACATTTAACAACTACCTTACTAACTATTAATAAGTTAGCAGCAAATAAGGAGGTTATTGAGTTAATGGTTTGTTAATAGTGAGAACTGGACTTTAAAATAAAGTGTGAGCAAAGCTAGAATATGTCAGAACTTCATAAACTTACGGGATATAAAAATATGCAGAAATGTTACTCCGTTTGAGCTTTACTGAACTCAGTAAACTGAAGTAGTATCCAGATGGAGTAAACCTTGCAAACTATTAGTTTTTTTCTAGAGTATAGTCCCTTCTGATGCCAGAACCGTTGAAATCTCTCAGTATGTCACTCTCAATGGACATGCTCTTCAGATGATTTAGTCTTTCTTGCACCATTGCTCACCACAGTTTGTTCTTCACCAAGGAGAGCACCATTACTTAGTCACCCCAAAAAGCATGTTTAACCCATTTTGTGGCTTTGTTGTTAGCAGATTGCACACATTGACTATCAGCTCTACGCTAATTTGCTCTGCTCTTGGCAGATTGCGTTGGTCATTATGGAACTGATCTGCATCTGTGCTCTTTAATTTGCACATCGTCAGTAAAACACCCACAGACGTTTCCACTTCCATCTGCACCTGAACAAATACTAATTTGCTCTCACTCGGCAAGCATTTCATACTTAGTGTGAGACATTATATTCATTAATGTTTTTTTATTATTCATCCATTATTTTCCTTTATTCTGGCATTGCTTGCCAGAGCCAGAGTTAGGTCCATTTTCATCCCGGGAGTTTAATCAGAGATGCTCTTATTGTGAAGGGACACCAGCTTCAGCAACTCTACCACTGGAGAAAGTGTAATGACCGACTTGGATCACATGTGTCTCGATAACCAATCACACGACAGCCTTGATGATGAAGTTGTATGACAGTCAATCACAAGGCTCGTTTGTCAGAGTAGGAATATTCACACGTACATTATGCATGAGTCCGAGCATATAAATTAGACATCTAAATCAGAGTTAGGTTTAAAATATGAAACCTTTTACAAGAGAACAAAACATCAACATAGAGCACATCACATATGGTCAACACGGTTGCTCAAACGTGGATGCATGAGCACAAGAACCAATAAGGTTCGCTTTAGTGTGTGACATACACCGCGGGAGTTCAGCGTTTACAATATGTGATGCACTCTATGCATGTGTGTTTATATGTGAATAAAAGCCTAAATAAAATCTGTTCCTCATATAAAGCAACCATATATATACACTATATCATTTTTTTTTTTTTTTGAAGATTATCCAAGTTTTTAAAATGGCACGAGAGTACATGATGACAGAATTTAAATTTTTGGGTGAACTGTCCCTTTAAGCTTTGTCATCAGGAAGTCATTTCCCATTTCGCCTATAGTGAGTGCAGTCGAGGAAAGCAACTGCACCATCTGGCTCAGCCGTCTCAAGAGTCTTTTGCACACATCAGCATGACATCAAAGCAATATTGCTCATCTCAAATGAAGTGCTAAACTCAATTCTACCTGTCTCAAAACCGGAAGAAGTAGCTTCCCCAACCACATGTGCTTTTATTTTGGGAAAAATGACGCAGTACTTTCCACACTATGACTTTTCTTAGTGACCACGTCCGTCAGTCTCCAAAAATATAATACAAGTTGTAATATCCACAGCAAAATCTACTCATAACAGTTCCACCATCCACCAGTAGAGGTCCCAATCACCCGCATACTGACATGGGTTCTTGATATTGCTGCATCTGGAATTCATTAACCTTGTGTGTGTGTGTATATTCACAATGCCCAGTGCTGCTCTACTGCTGGCTACTCTGGATTTGTTGGCCAGCATCGCTGCCTTTCTGGTTTTAAGCTCTCCATTTTTCATCATAAACACAGCACATCATAGCCAATACGAGGCGTTATATGTTTGTGTGTGCTCACTCAGTAAAGCCGCGCAAGCTGTGTTTATATTTGTGCCATGTAAAGCCCAAATCTATGTGTGAAAGAGGATGTGGTCAGAAAGGCCTCGGCTCTTTTCAGTGCTGCGTACAGGGAGAAGTTTCAACACATACGCAAGCATGCACACAGTCATTCAACACCTACTTCATGACTTTTTATAAATTTCCACACCTCTCAGAAAAGACCCTTTTTAGAGCATTTTTAATAGGTCAACAACACACATCATCATGGGGCATAAATGTATGAACACCACAGATAAACAGGTACGCTCAGGCAAAAACTCACAGTGAAGTCGAGGTCTGGGAATAGCAGGAGATCTTGAAGAGGATCGTCTCTGAACTCAGGTTCAAGCTCTGAAATCACAGCCTCATAGTCCAGAGGGTCGATCACTTTGGGCTTCTCTTGCTGTGAGACACAAAGAAAACCATATCATCACCAACAACATCAGAATCTAAAAGCATTAGCACTTTTCACAAGGACAGTGCACTCATTTTAAACCATCAGACTTTCAGTTGCCCTGAGTGTTAAAACTGCTTAAATATATCCTTGCATGCTCTTGCATCATCTTTGATGATAGTGTAATTTGTAAGGTAACTGGCAACACATTATTGGTCCCTTTGCATCAAACTATTACTGAAAACAACGCAACCAATGATCAAAATTAATGAAATAAATAACTAAAAAATACAGATGAAAAATCTTTTGATGGTGAAGCTTTAAGTGGATTCAAATCCACTTCAGAATAAAGCTACAAGCATGGAAAACATCCTTCACATCAGGTGGATTTCTCAGCCAAATCTGAATCAGGGGCCGGATTCACGAAAATCTTCTTAAGAAATAAGTTAAGAAATGTCTTAAGATAAATTCCACAAAGTTTGTAAGAATGTTCTTAAGTGCAATTCTTGAAAAATTCTTAATACGTTCTCAAATATACGGTGGCCGCGAGGTGACATGGTCGGTTCACTTAGTTTTGTCGTGGCCATGAGATATTAATTTGAGAGAACATCATATTAACTCGTGGGAAAGTGATATTATGTCGTGGCCACGACTTCTTATGTTGAGGGAATTACATATTTTTCTCGTGGCCACGAGTTTAATGCGTTAACACACCTGCGTGACCATAGCAACCCGGTATTATCAGAGATGGATTCATTAATATTTTATTTTGAATTAGGAAATTATTATATTATTTATTATAGACTCGACATGCCAATAAAGCTTTGATTATGCTGACTGGAATTGTTGCTGGAATGCAGTTTAAATTTAACATATATTTCATTTTATTTCAGCTAATTAACAGACCATAATTATACATACTATATAGTGTTTAGTTGAGGAATTCATCATTCACGTAGTTTCACGTATAACAATAAATATAAAAATATAGCCCTAATAAGTTAATGTAATAATAATAAACTCGTGCACATCCCTATTAATAGTCTATGTATTAAATGTAGCTAGTGTTGTTGTAATGTTTAAATATAACAATTAATTTGAAATAGTCCAATAAATTCTAGTGTTGTTGTAATGTTTAAATATAACAATTAATTTGAAATAGCCCAATAAATTCCTACTGTTTGGGATTTAAGACAAGTCTGGGGCTGCCCTAAATTTAAGTTATTTACGATGATTTTTAAGAAGATTATTTTCAAGAATTTGAATTCTTCCCAAGTTTTGTCTTAAGAACAATCTTAAGAAAAAAAGATAAGAATATTCTTAAAATGGATTTTTGGGAATACAAAATATTCTTAACTGTTATCTTAAGTTAAAAAAATAAGAAGAAAATGGCAGTTAAGAAGACTATTAATAGTCTATGTATTAAATGTAGCTAGTGTTGTTGTAATGTTTAAATATAACAATTAATTTGAAATAGTCCAATAAATTCCTACTGTTTGGGATTTAAGACAAGTCTGGGGCTGCCCTAAATTTAAGTTATTTACGATGATTTTTAAGAAGATTATTTACAAGAATTTGAATTCTTCTTAAGTTTTGTCTTAAGAACAATCTTAACAAAAAAAGATAAGAATATTCTTAAAATGGATTTTTGGGAATACAAAATATTCTTAACTTTTTTCTTAAGTTAAAAAAATAAGAAGAAAATGGCAGTTAAGAAGAAATTTCTTCTTAAGAATGTTTCGTGAATCTGGCCCCAGAGCTCACAACGTTTATAAGTGTTTAGATCCAACTCTGCAACTGCTCCAATAGATTGGATTATAAAAGGACGTGAGTGATGCTCTTCCCAGATTTCTCTGATATCAGCAAAAAAAACAACAACCTGTAAACAGATAAACCTTTGTGCAAATAAACTGGACTGTAAGGTTTTGTGTGTTTCATAAAGGGTATTCATATTGTACACAGATGACACACACTGATTTGGGGATTTTGTATCATGCTTTATATCAGATCCTCTTCTGCTCTATCAGGTTGAATAAGCACAGCCATTTTCAGGTCTCTCCAGAGATGTTTGATTGGGTTTGAGTCTGGTCTCTGTCTGGGCCACTCAAGGACATGCACAGAGTCAACCCTAAACCACTCTTGAGCTGTGTGCTTAGAGTCATTGACTTGTTGGAAGGTGAACCTTCTGCCCAGTCCGAGGTCCTGAGCATTCTGGATCATGTTTTCATTAAGCATATCTAAGCTACATATGGGAATAAATACAATCTTAAAGTCAAAACTTTATTGGCATGATTGTCAGGCGTTTATTTGCAAAATATATGGTAGACTAGCAAATGCTAGCATAATTATACAAAACTATAGGTAAAGCGATACACAAATTGAAAGGGGAAATAAGCATATATAACAATAAATATAAAAATATAGCCCTAATAAGTTAATGTAATAATAATAAACTCGTGCACATCCCTATTAATAGTCTATGTATTAAATGTAGCTAGTGTTGTTGTAATGTTTAAATATAACAATTAATTTGAAATAGTCCAATAAATTCCTACTGTTTGGGATTTAAGACAAGTCTGGGGCTGTCCTAAATTTAAGTTATTTACGATGATTTTTAAGAAGATTATTTTCAAGAATTTGAATTCTTCCCAAGTTTTGTCTTAAGAACAATCTTAAGAAAAAAAGATAAGAATATTCTTAAAATGGATTTTTGGGAATACAAAATATTCTTAACTTTTTTCTTAAGTTAAAAAAATAAGAAGAAAATGGCAGTTAAGAAGAAATTTCTTCTTAAGAATGTTTCGTGAATCTGGCCCCAGAGCTCACAACGTTTATAAGTGTTTAGATCCAACTCTGCAACTGCTCCAATAGATTGGATTATAAAAGGACGTGAGTGATGCTCTTCCCAGATTTCTCTGATATCAGCAAAAAAAACAACAACCTGTAAACAGATAAACCTTTGTGCAAATAAACTGGACTGTAAGGTTTTGTGTGTTTCATAAAGGGTATTCATATTGTACACAGATGACACACACTGATTTGGGGATTTTGTATCATGCTTTATATCAGATCCTCTTCTGCCCTATCAGGTTGAATAAGCACAGCCATTTTCAGGTCTCTCCAGAGATGTTTGATTGGGTTTAAGTCTGGTCTCTGTCTGGGCCACTCAAGGACATGCACAGAGTCAACCCTAAACCACTCTTGAGCTGTGTGCTTAGAGTCATTGACTTGTTGGAAGGTGAACCTTCTGCCCAGTCCGAGGTCCTGAGCATTCTGGATCATGTTTTCATTAAGCATATCTAAGCTACATTCAGCTTTCCTTCTACCCTGGCCAGTTCCTGAATCCCAGCCTCTGAAAACCACCACCACGCTTCACCACCAGAATGCTTTTGCACAGCGGATGAGCAGTGCTTGGTGTCCTCCAAACATGATGCTTGCAATTAAAGGGGATATTGGATGCCCATCTTCTACAAGTTGGTATGATTCTTTAGGGTCTTCATGAAATGTCTGCAAAACACTAAAATTCCTCAATGGTCGTGAAAAACAACATCCTTTTACCTTTTCAAAATCAGCTCTGTTCACAGCCAGCCGTTTCAGTGCATGGCTTTTTTAAATGATTATGAGCTACTGCTCACCCTGCCACTCTCTTCTGGTTTTTGTGTATTTGGAAGCGCGGTAATATGCGGAAATATGCTAATACAGGTCCGTCAGCAGTCATGGGCGGGGCTTGAGCAGTGTGACCATCATACTGCTCAGAAAATCAAACCGGCTTGATAATTGAGGCCATGTCCACGCGTACACGGGTATTTTTATAAACGGTTTTATAATTCTTAAAAGTTTAAAAGTTTTTCATTGTTCCGTTTTAAAAAAAATCTCCGTCCACATGAGAACGCAAACGCATGCTATGAAGCACTGTCAAGAGCATGCCAAACCAACAGGTGGCGATATAATCTCAACCGTAAAGCCATGTTGGCCAATCAGAAGCCTGAAAAAGTCTCCAGTAGGCGGAGATAACAGCACAGGCTCCGACGTCACAAGCCAAAAACTGCGGTTTCGCTGTCTACACGATAACACTGCAAACCGAGTTTTTGAAAATCTTCACCCTGGCAGGCGTTTTCAAAAATCCTCAACTCTTCTCCCCTGCCATTTCATGTCACATCTCTACTGTCTCTTTCTAATAAATCCAAGAAAGGCCATAAAATAATCTTTAAAAAAAAGTGTAGAAGCATCTCATAGATTGTCTATAGCGTGGGTGTCCAAACCGGTTCCTAGAGGATCACTGTCCTGCAGAGTTTAGCTCCAAACCTAATTAAACACACCTGAAAGCGAACCAAAGATCTTCAGGGGCAAGTTCAAGCTCAAACCGGTGCGCAACGTTTTGCTACGGTTTCCGGTTTGAACAACATGTTTCCTGGAAACGGTGTGCAACGGGGTTTGAGATGTGTTTTCTCTTGTTTGGTGGGTGTGTCAAACATGTCAGCCAATCAGCAGCAGCATGTATATAAACCACGTGGTATTAAAGAGACTGCTTGCAAAATGTAATTAACATCAAAATAAATTCACAAGAGCAAGTATATTGTTTGCACATGTTTATTTACATTAAAGGCAAAATAACTGAAATAATAAGACCACAAGTATAGATCTGGAACTTCTTTAAGTATGTCTAAATATCATTTAGTAATTGCAATGTCTTCTGGTCCATATCCTTTCCTTAGGAAGGTGTGCGACACTGATGAATTTAACATATAAATATTATACATATTTATATATTTTGCTATTGTATTGTGGAGTGATACTTTCA